ACCTGCTTCTCATGGCCGATACTGATAAGATATGGTAATAATTTTACATTAAAAAGAATTTGTAACCTCTTGTTTTTATACACCTGAGGGTAAGAAAGAGTAATAGGTCGTAAGCAAAGATTGATGATTTAATATTCTATAGCTCTGTTATAACCAAATCTAACTGACACATTGTTACCACAATAAAAAGAAACAATAATAACATCAGCCCCAATATATATTGTGCATTCCTACACAGTTTTTTGGCATCTTTCAGCTCATTGTTTTGGTTTTACGGCCTAGAACTTTAATGTTTTGGTTCATGCTTACCACTCTCATCAGCGGTGTTTTCAGTCACAGGAAGCCGCAAAAAAAGCCACTATACACAATCTCCTCAGCACCAAATGACAGACAAAGGTTTAGCAGCGAGCTAATGTAGCAAAACATTTAGCAGCTAGGAGAGCCAGACTTGATTGCATGACACATAATAGCATTGCTGTCTGATGGTAAAAGTATTGCATTAAAGCTAGGGTATCTAACGTTGGAGAAACTAGCAAGAGACGACTACAAGTATCCAACCGATAGAATCCCAGCTCCTCCCTTCAGGTCTCCCTCCAAAAGCCTCTCCCCCATCACACATTAACATCCTGTGCCTGAGTTGTTATCACTAACTGTATCCAACTATCTCAGGTCTCATTCATACATAGTTTACTACATGCTACATAGTTGAGGAAAATAACAAATAAATGACATCTTTAATATCTTCTTTTGTCCGACCAACAGTCCAAAACTCAAAAGTATTACATTTATAATTATATTAAATAAGAAAATCGACCTAATCTGACAATAGCACACTGATGGAGGTGATGCCTCTGTAATGTCATACAGCCTTTCTGTATTTAATGCCCTCTATATAGTCCAGATCCTGATATTTTACACCTGTATACTACATGCTGTGTATGTATGTAACATACATAAATTCCTTTATACACCCAGAATGTAAAACTCATTATATTAAATATATTAAATTATAATTTAATTATATATTATTACATTATATATATAATATAAGAGTTCTTCACTGTCATCAGTCTGACATCAGTCTGTACTGTATTGCTCAATCAAACCTCTGCGTCACTGCCTTCTCCACTTTCTGGCAGCTGAAGGCGATCTTAACTTAAATTGGTTTGACCCAGTTTTACGTTAGAGGAACCAGACTAGATGTGTTTTACATTTCTTTGATTTTTGTTGTAACAAACTTGTTTCTTGAATGAAAAAAGGGAAAACATGTAGATTTATGTGACTGATTTATTCAATTTCCTGAGAGTCTGACATCCCTGCTGCAGCAAAGACGGAGAGATTCAGGATGGGAAATCCCAGGATTCTGGTTCCTGGAATTAATCTCAAGGAAAGCCGAGGCAACACCGAATGCATTGGTGGAAACGCTGATTAACACATACATTAAAATGGTGGAAATCCTCTGTCAACCTTACTTCACCCTGAGAGTGTCCTTCCTGATGGTTTCTTGGCAGTGTCATGTGGTAGACACTTCTATGGCAAGCTGTGTGTGTGTGTGTGTGTGTGTGTTTGTAAAGGAATTTCTCAATCCCAGCATGCCAAAACTGATCTTAGCGACTGTGTGTTTGTGTATTATGCTTTTGAAATAGAGCTGCTGAGATCTGGAACTGATAGAGATTGACTCTGTTTACACTGACACACTCACGCACACTCGCACAAACACACACACACACAGATGCTGCGGTGTCTTGGCTTATATCACTTTCAACATGTTTGAAATTTGAAAAATGAATCACACAACACAACATTCAGTCTGGGCATGTTGAGATTGAGAAATTCATCTCACTATCACCGCCGTTCTGATGATGAATGTGATCTGAATGTCGCTTTCATGGGAAAATGTTGATGCCGTTAAGCGACATTAAGATAATACTTTGTTATTGTGTAGAATTCAGTTCAGTGCTGATATAGGGTGACAAAGCAGTTTCCCTTTCACTTTAAATCTCACTCATCCTCCTCGGACTAAAAAAGCGTGTAAAGAAGTGCCCTGCCATAGATGATCATTTAAAAGGTCTGATTATTTTTAACTGTGATCATTTAAGGAAACTGGCCGGTTCGCTAAAATTGACTCCTTCTCTTGATTGTGTCTGAGAGGATCTAGCAGCAGGGAATCGACCCTTATGTCACCTCGCAGCCTCACACACATAAGCACTCGGAGCTGTAGTGGCTGTAGGTGGATAAGCTCCCTTCTTATAGTGATTAGCTGCGACAGGCCGTTGCGCGACCGCCAGGCCCCTTACTGAGGCAGATACAATGATTAACATGAGGCTCTGTTTTTGTGCAAGCATTTGACAGACAGTGACTTGCAGGAGTTGACCAATTTAGTTAAATCAAGCTGCACATTTTTAATATTGTAAAACACTGTAAGGCATGTTGAAATCTCTAGCTCTGGTTCTTGAACCGCGGTTCAGGATTCTTGGAACTAGCAAACCAGCCCGTTTCCACCAGTTTTGTGTGAAATCATTGTTATCAAGGATGCATCTTCAATGGAAGGCGCTGCACAATGCACAACAACTAGAGTATGACACGCCTACTCTGGGTTTTTTTTTTACCTTCCCATAACTATTGAAAACTATGTACGTGAACCACAACTGAGCCTGTTCCCTGTTGCTGGAAAAGCTCTAAGATGGTGTTTTTCCATTCCGTGTAAGATTCTTAGAGACCTTGTTGCTCTCTAGTGAATCAGCCCGGGTTCCCAGCAACCATTGAAGGATGTAAGGATGCATCATAGACAGAGATCGTTGAACAATGCACAACAACACACCTACTTTGGTTCCCAAGGAATTGGCTATTTTTTGGTTCCAGCTGGAAAACCAATTTCTTCTAAACAAATTTAATTTGGTTAGGGTTCGCTCTGAATGGTTCAAAACTAGGTGCTTGAGCCAGAACGTCACCAGTTCCCTGTTGCTGGACAAGGCCTAATACTTTTGACACAGTTTCCACTTTTATTAAACATCCATATTTGCTAATGTTGGTGACGCACACGGTAGCCTACATACGTTGCATTTGAAATCAAACTACCACCTCCATTATAGAGGTCCCATCACAAGTATCTGTCAGCTGAGAAAATCAATGCTGTCATCACTAAGTGCTGTATATTGATTCATTCTGAAAATGCTAATCCATTATATGAAAGTAGAACACAACAGTGTACCAGGATAGTCTATACTGAATGGAGCTCTTTGGATATAAAATCCAATATTGCCCCAGACACAATCAAAGTCGGGATTTTACATTTTATACGGCCTTAACCTCACTAAAATCAGAAACTGTTCTTAGCAGCACTTAACTTAAGTTTATAGATACATACAACAGCTAAATGTTCCACTTTGTTAAACAGCTCGTGGCTAACTTTCTGTTGTGTGGTACAGGCCAGGTAGCTTACAGTTTACAGCTGGAAACAACAATGTTCAGAGCAGTGAGAGTGATTCAAAACAGTGTTGTTAAAGTTGCCATAAAACCAAAACAACAAGCTGAAAGATGCTGAAATGTTGTGTTGGATTTGGCATCTAGTGATTGCAGATCACTTTACTGCTGGTGTCTGTATTTAGAATGGGCTGTGAAGTGTGTAGGAGAAACTCCGGTCCCCATCTAGAGCCAGTGTTTGGTTTGTCCATTCTGGGCTACTGTAGAAACATGGCAATTCAACATGGCAGACCAAATGGTCTGTAGATACAAAATAGCTCATTCTAAGGTAACAAAAACACAATTCGTGTATTCAGGTGATTATACACCAATAAAAACATACCTATGAATGTATAGGTATGCATTTATGTCAGTAGATCCTCCTAAATGTGATCCATCGCCTCATTTCATTGATTCCGATAGGGAACCAACCCAGTGGCAGGCATTTAAATGAATCATATAGAAATACTCAATCTTCTTGTTGGTCTTGTGTGCTTATGTAGCTCATATAGAGGCATCTGTATGAAACTGAATGTGTTTCATAACCAGTTAAAAACTCCTCAGATTTAACATCAACATTCAAGCTACTGGGCACATTATGCTAACTGCTTATAAGGACAGTGGCTGTCAGCTCACTAGAACTTGCTAGCTACAAGTTGTCAAGCAACAAGAATACCTGAAGACTAAATCTTTCAATAAGAAAAATCACTTCCTCCTTACTTCAAACTGCCATAACAGAAAGTTCAGCTTTGCTTTTTTCTCTAGCTAACTGATGATTATAGTGGTGTTCCTCCAATATAGAAGTTAAAGTTACACAACTTCAAAACATTGCAATCAATGCATCTGTTTAAAGTATTCATCGGAGAAATACAATATTGCCCCCGGGTCAGTTTACAAAAGAAATACGTTTGTACAAAAACTAAACAGAGAGAGAGGGAGAGAGTAAAAAGGAGGTCATGGGGGGCAGTCTCTTGTTCACACTTTGCCTCCTCCCTCACTCCTCCCTCTTCATCCTCTTCCCTCCTCCAGCCCTCCCTCTTCTGCATTACCAGTCATGGTGACCGGGAGGAGAGGAGGGAGGCATGCAGCAGCCACTCAGTCAGTCATTTAGTCAATTGTTTTCCCTCTAGCTCACTAGCGTGTTGTACCACTCCAAGGATTTTATTTTTACTACACTTATTCTGTAAGACGCAGCTCTGTAAGAAAAACATCTTTTTCTTGTTTTTGAAGACACTCAAAATCTTGATTCACTTGAAAAGGAGATTCCTATAATTCAGTGCTTTTGTGTGATGTTCTGATCCTGTTTATAATCCCACATTGGCTGCTGGTGTGTGCTGGTGTGGCTGCCAGATTGTGGAGAAGGGAGCTTTGTAGGAAATTCAAAACAGGGGGGAGGAACCTCACAAGATGGTTTGACTTGGAAGAGAGAGAGCGATCATCTGTTGTGGAGCGGCATCTTCTCTGTTGCAAGGAGAGACAAGTCTTTGGTTTTCAGGAAGAAAAAAAGGGATGTGAGACAGTTGAAGGTTTTATATCCCATTCTTGGACAAATTTTCTTTAAGAAGGAGGAAGAAGTATTTTGCTTTGGGAAAGAATCTTTAAGTTTTTGCTTCAGTTCAGTTTTACAACATGGCTGGGATGTATGGATGCTTCAAGAGCAGGAAGTAAGTTTCTATTTGTAGTAAATCCATTGTATTTATTATTAGTAAGGTATAATTATGATGAAATTATATTGTGATTCTTTTGTTTCAACCTCACAATAACTTACTCAGATTTCTCCTGAAGATTGCAAAATCCTGTTTTGCCGTCACACCTAATAACACAATATTACTCATATATATTGCTTCATCAAACTGTCCATTCATCATCATGCACAATGTTTTCAAATCTCTGTCACAGGATGGGGGTTTTGGCTCCTTAAAGGGATCTGTCATTTCCATCACATAATTATATCTTAATAGAGGACTACTTGTAACAGCATATGTTTAACAGTCACACACTCTGCTACTGGAAGCATTTATTTCACAATTGGCCACATCTTGTGCTGAAGAGCAAACATATTGACCACAGCACAAATCTGCTGACAGAAATTACAAATCTCTTCTTAGAGTGCACTGATTTCAATTTGCATGTTGGGGGTTTTCCCAGAGTCGACTCTGTCTTTTGTTTCAGCGTCTAATAGAACTTTTGTTTCTCTTTTGTTTATTGAGACAATTAATGGCTTGCAGTTGGCGCTGCCTTACAGTCAGCTGTATGAGTCAGGGCTGATTGACTGAAGAGATTTTATACTGGAAGTGAATGATTAGTCAGAAAGTCCCAGAACTAAACTTGGCTTTCGTTTTTGTACAGAATAATCAGAAAGATGATTTCCTGTAAGTTCTCGCTCATACAGGATCAAAGTCATGTTGTTGCTCTGGCAGTGGATATATTATACTTTTTCCTCATTTAAATTTAAGTGCATGTTTTCTGTTGTAGCTGATGGAAGTCCTCAGTGATTTTAATGCTTTGAATTGTCTATAAATAGGACTCTGGGCTTGGCAGTGTGTTTGGACCACAGAGGGTTTAGGATAATGAGTGCCTTTAGCTTTTTGACTACAGTAAAATATCTTTTTTTGTTCTAGAGCTGTGGAGATGTGGTGTTTGGCGCACTGATACCCCCTTCTACTTTCTTTGTCTTTGGCCTTTCAGTCTCATGACAGGACAACAATACAAGCCTTTATGGCCCACTCAGCAGAGTTGACTTAGACAAACATTTTGTTTGTGCGTGTGACACAGAGAAAGAAAGTGAGTTAGGAGAGGGGATGAGCTACAAGACAGCTACAGATCCAACTAAAGAACCACAATTGTGTTCTCCTGGAAATGGTTTGTAATATAAACCGATTATTAATCATTTCTCACTACCAACTATCAACATGCAGACAAATCTAGACATGAAGTTGTATTTTCAACATGGGAATTCTTGTACATCATATGCTTGGCATTTAAGTGGCTAAGTCCTAAGAACACTGTTAGGCAACTGACAAAAGAAAATTGTGTTTCTGCATTACATTTTCATTTGTTTGGATTACAACGTTCTCGCCTCACCCTCACGTTCAAAGTGTGTAGGTGAAACTACAGCGGCCGCAAAACTCGCGAAAAACACTAAAGGCCCTAGAAGAGGACTCGCTTCCCTGTAGACAAAATCGGCTAAATGTTACACACTTACCACATCAAATCTTGCACTGACCCCTCAGCCGCTTAGTTAAACCTTAGCTGCTTAAGCAGGCTACTGCAGAGATTTCAAGAGCCAAAGATGGTATACAAAGAGTTGGGAGGGTGGCGTCTTTTATTAAGGCTTTTCAAAAACAAAAAACACAGGCAAAAGTGTAAGGAATTGATTAAAAAGTGGGTTTAGCTGATCTAATGTATGATGATTAGCTTACTTGTTAAAACACTAATAGTAGCTAACAATAGTAGCTCTGTCTTGCTTTTTGTGGGCTTTTTAGGGAATTTAATCTCCGCAGTCTCAGACAAACTCGCTATGTAAGATAGCGTTGGGTTTACCAAACATATTGGTCAGGCCTCACTCTCAAACAACTTACAAGTGAAACAAACTTACAGAGTTACTGTTAGCTTAATTGGTCAAATCTGCTAGCGACAGTTGTGATTTCAACTGACGAAACAGACAAACTAAAAATGAGAAGACTGCTTTCATCTACCTTTGTTTTATGTCAAGAACCCACTGTTAAAAATATGAATTTCTTTAACAAAAATGTTAAAAATCTTAAAAGCATGAAAAAGCTTTACAGACTAAAGATCCGTTTTTTTATCCATTATCTTACCTGTCCAGGCAGGTTTAGATTAGTGGTCGACCCATGTGCGTTTTTCAATGGCGGACACCAATATTAGAGAGCATGGCTGCCGATGGTCGATATATACTTCTGATATCAAAACAAAGAAAAGTAATGTATATTTCTATTCTTATGTATGTTAAATAAATGTATCTGTGTATAGCAGGATGCATGGGAGTTACAGTACAGAGCTTGAAACCAGCAGCCACACTGACAAACCTGCCTGCAGATGTGTCTGAGGACATTTTTTGTTTATTGGTCTCATGAGCGCAGACATCAGCCTTTCACTAGTTTATATTCAGCCCACCAGAGAAGAGTGTAAGTAGGTGGGAGTCACAGCAACTGTATGCCTTCACTTTCTCACCAGGCCCCATCTTTCCCTTTTTCAACGCTTCCTGGCCCAACAGTCATTATGTAACCACAGCAGGTTGAGTTTGTTCGGCAGGAATGGTGATGCAGCCGTAAATGAATGTAGACTGAGCGGAGTGACTGATGAAAGTGTTTGGTCAGTTTCTGTCTTGAGTCCATGTAAGGCTTGTTGCTAAGAGCACAGTCACATTTCAAACAGGAGGTGGTGGTGGGGGGGAAGGATATGGAGGAGAGGCAGAGGGAAGGACAGCAGGAAGACAAGAGAAACCCCAAACCCAAAAGAATGGTTTCTACATTGTAACTAAACCTCAGAAGGAGGGAAGCTTTTTGGAGCTATTTGGACAATAATGGTATTTTCAACAATGATTTTAGTTTATTCAGTTCTTGTGGAGTTTTAGAAAAAAATGAGTAAAGATCCGAGATGTGATTTTTGAAACCACTTTCAGCTAATTCAGAATGACAGAATAAACTCTGGGAGATACTCTGAGTACATCGAGCACTTCCAGTGGTTTATAAGCCGCTATTGTTTATTCAAGGGATAACAAGATATACTTTTGATCACAACAAATTCTTCTCAAGCTTTGGCGATTTTCCCTTAAACTAATCAAGCTTTGACTGCTTTAACCCCTGACTGTGTCACCACTCTGGTTGTGGCCAATTACTCTCCATGTTTACCTTGCTCCTGCTGGATTACAGTACTAGATTAATACAGTCAGGCATGCTGGACTAAGAAGCTATAAGCTCTCTTTTCTAGCCGGGAACTCTGAATACAGCCAGGTTTTGTTTTAGTCACGGTGTCTCACTATTGTCGCGTGCAACACAATCTATGGTGTTTGTTTTGTTTACCATTTTCCTCTTTATAATTGCAGGTTTTATATGATCCACATAGACATTGGTTACATTGGACTCACGTCAAACCACATTTTATAACTCGGTGATTTCCAACAGATTGCTGTCTAACTTCACCAGCACTGGGATCTGCAATGATTCTGCTCACATTTAGTTTCTAAATCTCAGTTAGTCGTATTTTTCACTCTCAAGGCCTTTTTATTTTTGAGTGGCTGTTCCTACATCTGATAACCAAGGCAACTGTTTTTGTTGGCGCTCATTCAAACAGCACAGATGTGCTGCATTAAAGTCTACTGTATGTTAAAGGTCATTGTAGTTCACTGGCACGTTATGATGCTCAGTGGGTTTAAATCATGACTGCTTGAATGCTAAATACAATGCTGGGAATTTCAAGGTTCCTGTATCGAGGTCATTCGTTCCCAGGGCCCCAAAGGAACACGGATATGCTCCCAATGTATCAGGGCAGAGGAAGTTGGATGTTTTACCCATAGACAGGTTTACCATACAAACAATGCTATATGTATATGTGCTGCAGGAGAGTAGAAAACACATTACCACATTTTCTTGATAGCTTGATTATTTAGAAATGAAGCAACTTTCTCTGGTTAGCTAACACAACATATATTTCAGTAAGAAATGTCTGCTAGTATCTAATGCTAGCTGAGACTATACGCAAAGTTAGCTCTACCGGCTAGTTAGGGGAGTGTAATCCAGACTTACATGAGTTGGACTCGAAGAAATCAAAAGAGACTTCTCGACTTGGACTTTACCACCAATAATTCGGGACTTAGACTTGTAGCCTTTTGACTTGAAAATACTTAATACCTTCACCCAAGCCCAAATATGAAAAATAATCAATCAGCCACAAATCAGTTAATTTCCCTTTATTTATTAAAACAACTTAACACTATTTATTCCCAGCAAGTCAAAACTTCCCAAGATTCACTTTGTTTGGACCAATCCGACAACATCCAATGAAGTCGCAGGAGAGACGGTGAAGAACTAACATTACAAATTGGGAAAAAATTATACTAAAGCTTTTGTGTTGTTAAAATTGCATTACATATGGCGAAGAGCACATTATGACTTGTTCAGGACTCAAAACTCACAGTTTAGGTCTTGGGACTCGACTCTGGACTTGAGACTAACCTCTGATATATTCCACTCTGATCCATGTAGTTATTAAAAATAACACACTTGCGTCTTTGTGGCCTATGAGTTTTGAACAATGACCATGTATGTAATTGCAATGTCTTCAGTTCCCTTTGTTACCCATCAGCTCTCCACTGTACACTTTCCAACACAGGTAAGAAAATACCCAGAAAGTACTTAAAAACACATGCAAGTAGCTTCTTTGATCAATCATTATGTTTTTAATAACCGCATACAGCAACTCGTGTTAGATTATCCTTTTTTCCACACCTTTAAATCAGTGCTGCACCCTGTTACTACTTGGGGAAGTCAAAGTAACAAAGTGACATTCTTTCGCCTGAAATTTAATGAATAATTTCCTTCGTAGTCATCCTCTCCTGCTGACCATGCAGGCGTTGAATAGTTGAATGGGTCAAGAGGAAATACCGCGGTTCTAAAGGCCATGTTCCCAGTTAGGTATGTGT